CAGAACGGCCCGTGTCCCAGTAACGTCTCTGATACTGGATCATAGTGACTAATTACTGTGTCCACCACTTTAATGCTGCAGCTGGTAAAGGTGGAGCTGATGGTAACTACCTTATATACTTATACTGTGAAGTACTTTACATCCTGCTGGGTAGCTGGTGGATTTCCCACTGGGATCAATAGAGTCTGATGGTTCTACTGGGTTTGGTTTGATTCATCTGATTCTGGTAAGGACCTGAAGTTATCAGGTACATGTAGTGCAGTAAAAAGTACATGGTTTGCCACTGACAAGTAGTGAAGTCACAGTATGAAGGAGCAGGACGTGGAAATACTGAAGTATTTAAGCACAGTACTTGAGTAAATGTACATAGTTACTCTCCATCACCAGTGACTCAGGAAAGTGATTCAGGTGTTAAATTATCTGCAGGTTATGGAAACAAGCTTCTTTAGGTTCTCTGAGCTGAAGCTCTACAGGTCAGACCATCTCAGCACAGAGCACGGATCAGATGTTATGTGATCCCATTCATATGTTTCAGAGCTTGAAGAGGACCAGAGGTCGTGTTCTCTGTGTTGGTACCGCTTCGCCAACCTCTTCCTGAAGTGGAATTGTTGTGGCTGCTGGCGGTGGCTCAAACAACGGCTCTACACCTTTGTCACACACCCGTTCTTTGACCTCGGGATCATCATCTGCATCATTCTCAACACCATCTTCATGGCCATGGTGCATTATCCAATGACATATGAGCTTTATTATAAGGTGGACATTGCTGTGCTGGTGAGTGTTACAGGAAAATCTCAAAATGTCGTATCTACAGCAGAGCAGGGTGAGCAGAAGAAGAGTCTCCTCAGTTTATAGCATCTCAGTGTAGATGCAGAAACTGACTGATCACTTCAATTGCTCTCATCACATTTGTGTCAGATGACTAGACCAGCAGATAAACCGCACTGTGAACTACAGACACAGGAGCTGATTTAATGTGGACACATTCACACTGACAAGTAGCTGAAGAGATTCCTGTTCATCAGCCTGATTTGTCAGTGGAACTCAAAATCCCCACAGAGATTTAACACGAGCACAAAAAGGCCACAGAGACACAAAATCACAGATAAAATAATCACTAATACACAGACCACAGAGCCATAGAGACCATGGAGACCACAGAGCCATAGAAATGCAGAGCAGCTACAGAGAGACACAAAATAACCATGATTTGTTGTTTGTAGGTCAGTATCGCTTTCATTTTCTGTCTCTTTGTAGCCTGCAGCCAGAATTAGTCTGTACCTCTCAGTGTCCTGACACTGGCCTCTGACCTCTGACTCCTCCCTTCAGGTCTTCACGCTGATCTTCACAGTTGAGATGCTCCTCAAAATTATGGCCCTGGACCCTTATGGCTACTTCAAGGTCAGACTTCTCATTTGTCAGTAGGAGTCTCATTTATGATCCAAACCAACAGTTTATAGTTGAAGTAGGACGTTTCCACCCACCTCAGCCAAATACATTTAAACTCATTTTTTCACAACTCCTGACATTTAATCCTATAAACATTCCCCGTCTCAGGTCAGTTAGTGTCACTACTGTATTTTAAGAATGTGAAATGTCAGATAAAGGTAGAGAAAGAGATTTATTTCAGCTTTTATTTGTCATCTCATTCCCAGTGGGCCACAAGTTTACATACACTGAGTATTTGGTAGCATTGCCTTTAAATTAGTTAACTTGGGTCAAAGATTTTGGGATACCGTCCACGAGCTTCTTACAAAAGGGTGATGGAGTTTCAGTCCATTCTGCCAGACAGAACTGGTGGAACCGGGTCAGGTTTGGAGGCCTCCCTGCTCACACATGCTTTTTCAGTTCTGACCACAAAGTTTCTTTTGGACTGAGCTCAGGGCCTTGTGATGGCCGCTCCAGTACCTGGACCTTGTTGTCCTGAAGCATTGGAAGTCTGCCTGGGGTCACTGTCCAGCTGGAAGACCCATTTGGGACCAGGCTTCAACTTCCTGGCTGTCTTGAGATGTTGCTTCAACATATCCACATCATCTTCCTTCCTCATGGTGCTATTTAGTGAGGTGGCCCAGTCCATCCTGCAGCAAAGCCCCCCCCACAACATGATGCTGCCTCCCCCGTGCTTCACGGTTGAGATTGTTGTCTTCAGCTTGCGAGCCTCCCCTTTTCCTCCAGTCATAACGATGGTCATTATGGCCAAACTGTATAATTTTTGTACCATCAGACCAGAGGACATTTGTCCAGAAAGTCAGATCTTTGTCCTCATGTGCAGCTGCAAACCGTTGTCGTCCTTTTTCATGGCGTTTTGGAGCAGCAGCTTCTTCCTCGCTAAGCAGCCTTCCAGGTTACAGTATGTCGATATGGGACTGGTTTTAATGTGGATACAGATACTCTGGTGCCTGTTTCCTCCAGTGCCATCACAAGGTCCTTTGCTGTTGTTCTGGACTGATTTGTACTGTTCAGACCAAAGTACGTTCATCTGTAGGAGACAAAGTGCGTCTCCTTCCTGAGTGGTACGATGCTGCATTGTTCCATGGTGTACATACTTGTGTTATATTGTTTGTACAGATGAATGTGGAACCTTCAGGAGTTTGGAAATTGCTCCCAAGGATGAACCAGACTTGTGGAGGTCCACAGTTTTTTTTTTCTGAGGTCTTGAGTTACCTAGTTTGAAGGTAGGCCTTAGAATCCATGCACAGCCACACCTCCTGATTCCAGTGATGTTAGTTAGCCAACGAGAAGCTTCTAAAGCCATGACATCATTTTCTGAAATTTTCCAAGCTGTTTAAAGGCCCAGTCAGCTGAGTATATGGAAACTTCTGATCCACTGGAACTGTGATATGGTGAATTACAAGTTAAAGAATCTGTTTGTAAACAACAGTTGTACACGTCCTAACCGACCCGGCAAAACGAGTTTGTTAACATGACATCTGTGGAGTGGTTAAAAATCAGTCCAAGTGTATGTAAATGTCTAACTTCAACTGTACATGTGCACAGAAGACAGAATGTTTGTCAGATTTATAGAAAGTTTGCGTGCACGCCTCCACACAAATGTCAACCTGAGAACGTGTGTACTGTGCTGAGCCTCACATTCTGGTTGAAGCACTCCCATAATTAACCCCAAATCATCAAAAGGCTGATGGATAGTGATACATGTTGTTCCTGAGGAGGATGCAGGCAGTGTGACAAACAGAACAACAGCTGTTCCCATGGAAATGTGTGATTGTCATATTGCCATGGTTACAGGTGGGCTGGAACATCTATGAATGCATCATCATCTGCGGCAGCCTCATTAACCTTCTACTGGCAAACTTGGAGGGCCTTTCTGTGATGGAGCTGTTTGAACTGGTCAGTCCAATGTCGTCATCATCATCATCAAGCACCATCATTAAATAATATTGATATGACTGTCTACCTGTTTCTGCCCCTGTCTCCTGTCCAGATGCGAGTGCTGAGGCTGGCTCGGTGGTGGCCAACCTTCAACATGCTGTTGAAGATCACCTACAGCTCTTTGAAAGCTCTGGGGAATCTGACTTTCATTCTGTTCATCATGGTCTTCGTCTTCTCTTTGGTCGGCATGCAGCTATTCCAGGATGACAACATTGTTGAGAACCACAACATCACGGTCAACAGCCCTCGCTGGCACATGCAGGACTTCTTTCACACCTTCCTTCTCATCTTCAGGATCCTGTGTGGAGAGTGGATTGAGACCCTGTGGGACTGCATGGAAGTCTCAGGTCCGATCTCATGTCTGATCTTCTACTTAATGGTCTTGGTCATCGGAAACCTTCTGGTGAGTCTACATTAGCACAGATTCTATTTGAAATGAGCCTGGGTTAATCCTCCAGAGTCCTGCAGATCAGCTGTCACTATAAACAGAGCCTGGCCCAGGTCCAGGATCGGAGCTCTGGCTTGAATCCTGAACAGGAAAACAGTTCCTTCTTGTTAGAGGCCCTGAAGTTGTTGCTGGTCTTGTTTCAGGACCTTAATCTATTCCTCATGTTTTTTCAGGTCCTGAACCTGTCACTGTTCTTGTTTCAGGTCCTGACCTTGTTCCTGGCCTTGCTGCTGAGCTCATTCAGCAGTGAATATCTGGTGGCTCCTGAAGAAAAGACCAGTGTGCAGATCACCATGAACCAGATCGGCAGGGCTGTGGGCAGGACTAGGACCTGGATCCTGGAATATATCTGCCCTTCGCAGGGAAAGAAGGGCCGAAGAACGAGAGACCAGAAAGGTAGGTCTGATTATCTTTGCTGGTAAGCAACGGGTGATCTTGTTTCTTGTAGCTGTTTTGGTATTTCCTTTTTTTTCTACATTAACCATTAACAAGGGCTTCTGGGTGGAGCTGACTGTAAACCTCAGATTTTAGGACTGAATGTATTTGTAGTGATTTGTGTGACACAATTTTTTGCATTTGTATATTTTATTGTTAGTGGTGGACAGTACAAAAGACAAGAAGAAGGAGTACCTGGCCCTGAGCGCTGTGACCTGTGACGAGCCACTGTCAGAGGTCAAGACTGATGTCGCCTCCCATAGCGTCCCCACTGCTGAGCCAGAGGTTGAATTTAAGATGCCTGAAAATGGAAAAGAGGAAGAGAAGAAGCAACAAGTAATGCTGCTGTATTTTTATTCTGGTTTTTTAGTGTTTTCTCTGAAACTGTGGCATCTGACTTCTGCAGACTGAGACCTACAGTCCCCCGACTACAGAGACTAAGTCTTATTTTGTTTTTAATCCTTCACTCTTATCTCTGGTTTCCCCCACTGTCATTAAGATAGTAATAAAGTTAAAAACAACATGATACAAATACATTTATAGGACAAAATAAGTTGTCTCTTCTCTCAAAACTCTCATATATTAAACACTGTGAATGAATAAATCCATCCATACTTCACAGGTTCAACAGGTTCAAGATAGCGATGATGAAAATCACAAAGGAAACTCACCTGAAGACTGCTGCTGTGACAGTAGGAACACACACACACACACACACACAGTGGTGTTTCCATAGTTGTGAGGCCACTGACACAATGCATCTCTCTGGCCCCTAACTCTGACCCTGACCTAAACCTGGTCTGAACCCTCACCAGCCCTTTGAAGGTGTGAGGACCGGACAACATGTCCTCACAGTGATGGTTTCAGACTAATATGTCCACACAAACATACAGTAGAAAGATGTACATAAAGAGCTGTTATTGATCACTGACCGGCTGCTGTTCGTTATCATCTGTTGAAGCTCCACATGTCTGAACTGACTTCATGAGTTTGCTTTACTTTATAAATCAACTTCGATCCAAAATGTTATCATTTGTGTGTGTGTTGCAGGTTGTTATTGCTGCTGTCCGTTCCTGGACATAGACACGTCCCAGGGTTCAGGGAGGGTCTGGTTTAACTTCAGGAGAGCCTGTTTGTCCATCGTACAGCACAATTGCTTTGAGGCCTTCATCATCTTCATCATCCTGCTGAGCTGTGTAGCTCTGGTAAACAAAAACAGCACCAACATTATTACACATTATGATAGGTTATTCATTCAAACATGGTCCCATTCTAACACCACACTCCCTCAGAGCAGATTGCTGTCTGCTAATTTTTATGACTTGTTTGACTTCATTGTGGGTTAAAAACTGGGTCAATAAAGCACTGACACAAAACTGGATTAACCTGGGAGCAGCAGGTTGTTGTGACCCAGTGTTGGGGGTACTTTAATATTACTGTTGGGGTACTGTTGGATCAGGGCTACACTGACCCACACTGGTCCAGTTTTAACCATGTGATTGTCCTATAATACAATAAAACACTCACTTTTATTTATTGAGTAATTTCCAGAGGTTCTGTAGCAAAGAGCTCCTCGGGGCAATTAGAACAGGATGAAGGAAGGAAAGACAAACAACAGAGATAAAAAAAAATACTAAAAACAACAAGATAAAGT